TATATGTATAGTGTGGGAAAATATGCACATAGTCAACTACATGTGTTGGTGACATATGAAAATTATGGCAAATCTCCTTGGCTTCTGTACGTTTCTACTCGAGTTCACATGTAAACTTCTATAAGTTATAGAACTCATAGAAGTTATAGACTATAACTAGTGGGGGAATTCTGAGCTCAGCTGAGGAAAGCGAACGTATATTTCTCCAACACACATGTACTTGAGTATGTGAATACTCCTCTACACTGATTCCGGAGTATATCTTAGGTTGATTTTGGCAACCAACGATTCGAAAATTGCAATTCACGTTGTGGAGTGGATTGTCGTTACGGAGAAGATTGGGAACGAGTTTGCTCCGAAAGCTTCGGTGAGTTCAGAAGAGTGTAATTAAAAGATAATGTGATAGTTGCATAAACTTATATTGGCATGAGTGTAAATTGGTTCTGATAATTCTGTTGAACTGCTGAGGAAATATTTGAATATACTTCACGAGTACTTCGTATCACTGCGAAACAAAGCGTTTTTCACAGAGAACAACGTCATTTCACGTAAAGCGGGTGAAACTTCAATGTGAACATTACTCTGGACATGTAATGTGATGAGAGTAACCTCTCAAGACTATGATAGAGCCAAGTTGCTCACTAATAGTCAGTCACTATCATTCATCCCGGAGTGGAAAACATACACTCTTCACATTTGCATAGTATCAAATTGGCACGCAGTGCATGTGGTGAAAAGACATCTATAATCTAGGCTTCGAATTTCTCTATTTCGAGAAAGGCATACTTTCGATCTCGTCTGTTAATAGCGGGCGATTTTCAGGCAAAATGTGTTCTTTGGAAACGAACGTGTCACCGTACAACCCAGTCGATATAGCATCCAGTGTGTGCTTGCCGAAAGAATGCGATAACAATAACGATAAGGATGCCATAATTGGAGAATTAGTGACAGGAGGGATGACCGAATACCAAACTGTGAGAGCTTTTGCTTCTCTTATCGTAAATTCAAATATACGATGGCGTTTCACCCGTAATTGTGGAGCGAGCGAAGCGAGTGGAGCGTATTCTCTCACTCTACTAACACTTTGTGCGTGCGTGCGTTGTGCGTGCGTACAAATTATCCAGCTCGATCTAAAGAGGTTATGACCACATGGTATACACCATTCGATAGCTCTCGCTCTGAGGATACTAGAAAAAATACGAACTTAGGATTCCGCCCGGATCATGTAGATTTCCGTGCAAAACCACATTTTTGCAGAAAAACGCCAGGCATGGGAATCCAACCCGTACGGCCTTCTACGGGAGATGGCTCCGCCCTTCTTCGAGAAGACCTAGTATGAAAAACCTTTCTCGAGACTACTGCATATCACCGCGAATATTGCGTTTTTCACAGAGTATTTCGCCACTCCACGTGGAATGAATGAAGCTCCGAAGCATCAAATTAATGACGGATTATAACCTAACTTGAAAAGCATATTTCAAAACTACTCCATAGCGCGAATATCGCGTTTTTACAGAGTCTTTCGCTACTCCATAATATGAGTTCATATGTTCATATGAAACGGGTAAAACTTCAATGCTCCAAATTAATTCGGAATATAATCTAACTAGTAAACTCCGCCTTCGAGAAAAAACCGATAGTGATGAGTTAGTTAGTGTTATGAGCTGAATGCTCCCACTTGTAAGATTCAATGGAAAATATGCCCTAATTTTCCTCTACATATTGTGAGTCTTCTGGAATCGTCGTCGATCTCAATGCCAGCCTGACCTCATTCGTATCTCTCGAGCGTGTAAGTCAGATATCCTGTCCGTCCAATGCTGTGAGGAAGCTCCTCATCGCTCTACTAGTCATCAGCATTTTGGCATCGATAGGTGCAGCTACTTAGTGAGGACTCAAAACTGACATGTTTTGCATCATATCTCTGTGTTTGTAGTTTGCTACTAGTTCCTCCAATGGGAGTGCCAGAATTGTTGGCATCGGCCAATGCATTCAGACAAGGCACCAGGAAAACTCTAAGTAGATTTTTTGGCAGTGCATTCCGTCATCATTGATACCTCCCATGGGACTATCGTGTTCTAGTAGTTGTGTTGGTAGTGGGTACGGATCCCCGTAAACGAAGAAGAGATATTCTGAGGCAGTGGAAGTCCCACATCACTTGATAACTGCGCATGAGGTGGGGCGAGTAGTCAATATAAAGACCAACTGACCCTACTGGGAAGGGTTGCATCTCTTACTAGTAGTTATTCGTCTAATGGGTAGTGATCGTGAGTTCCGTGCTGACGGCATACAAGTTCGATTTACTGTATGAATATTCTTTCATCATCGTTAGTGATTTGGAATGTTGAATAGTGACGAATAACGAGTTTGCCAACATGGACCGTAGAGTGAACCCCTATGGCACTTCCGTTAGTAACAAAGAACAC